TTCTACATAATCCGATTTTGCCAATTTTCAATACCATCCGTCTTACGCTCAATAGAAGTACACATACCATGTTTCGTTAAGATATCTAAATTTTTAGTCGTGTGCACAGACGGACAGACGAACAGATCAGTCACGGCTTGTGCACAAGTGCGCTCGGGTATAAAAATCTTGGCTTTAGGCCGGTCTACCAGGTTCATCGCAACTAAATGAGACATCTGCAATGTGAATATGTACATATGTAGTATAAGTACTATAAGTTGTTGAAATCACTTCAAATCATCGCATCGACAACATCTAATGTATCTAAAAAGAACTATTAAGCTGAAACAAACAGAATGGGGGAATTGACATTATAACTGCAACTTTTTATTTTTAAATATTGTTCAGTGACATCTGTTGATGTACATACATTAGACCTTACCAGAAAGAAAAGTTCATCGCACACCTTCAAATCGAAGTTAATTTTACCAAGCAATTTCGATAAATTATTTTTTCGTCGTTTTACATTTTTCGTCAAATTTTCGGTATTTATGTACAGTTGGATCTTAAAGTATGATATACTTGTTTTTTGGGGTTCAGATCGTTTCTTATTTATGTGATTTTAAAGTATAATAGGCTTTTCCGACCTTGTATCTTTTGGTGCAAATAAAACAAAGTTATTCCATTATTATTGCCCGTCGTTTCGCTAAACTCATTAGCATCTCAGGGGCTGGTCGTTTATTTTTACAAATATCTACTTTAACATATTTAATATAAATTGTTAATTCTACTTCGGTGCCATCTGGTTGTAATAAGTTTGCACTAAAGGATACAAGATCGTAAAAGCCTATTATAATTTAAAATCACATATGATATATTGATGTTTATGTCTCGAGAACATTGTTTTTTGTTGTTGTACTTACCCACTGAATCTCAGTTCTTATTACTCTAACCTACCACCCTAATATCAGTGAATGAAAGCCAAAAATTACGAAACATTTGTTAAATAAGTATGTCGATTATTCCAGTAGAACTATTTAAAAAAGTTTATTGCCGGATGTAGGTGTCACCGAAAAATGTAAAAAGGGGACTCTTATTGTGATTTCGTTTCCTCCAAAAAATGTTTCCTTTCCTCGGTGTAAAGTGTGTTAGAGGTTACTCTCAACCCCGTAAAAGGGCATATTTTTGCCTTCTTGTCCGTGTCTAGCTCACGCAATTCATAATATTGTCGTTTTAAGCAACCATCTGATTTTAAGGGCAACTACCACCCCTAACAAATCTTCAAAGGTCTGAGAATGTGCCTTTTTTGCCTGATAAGAGTGTGGCATTTTAAGAAACGAGCACAACATTTTCTCACCCTTTGTCTTTGTTTTAGAACTGAATACGAAAAAAGAAAGATGGAATCAAAAGGCAACATTTTTTGATAGAAACGAAATCACCATTAGGTTCGGCGAAAACATTTTTTTTCTTTCGAAATGTTTCCTTACTAATTTTTCACCACTTCATTTTGTGTGCGCTGTAAAATTTTGATCGAGCGTTTTATAAATAAGTACTTTCTTTAATAAATTCGTAAATTCCAATTAATAAATGTACATATATTTATATAAGTAAGAAATAGTTTAATTGCCTTAAAACTACTGAACCTCGTATGCAGCGCTGAACTAAAATTCCACCTCGTTCCAAAATATAAAACCACTACATATTGGGGGGCTTCCCTTAAACTCGTAAAAGCCTCGCCAACCTCGAAAAGCTCGTAAATTTCCGAGGCTCGTAAAAAAACTGTCAAAATTTGTATGGAGCTCTATTTAAAAGCCCCTCGTGAAATTGCGAGGCAAATTCGATGCGCAAACGACCTTGTAAACTTCAGTGTTGCCGAGGGGCCGACGATTTTATACTAAAATATATGATAAAATACTGAAAACAAATGAAAAAATAGTAGGGGAATAAAATTAATAAATTGTATCCACTAATTGTATTAACATGGGTTTTCTCGAATTTTAGAAACATCGATTCTTTAAACATCGATAGTCTCATTGTCATTTACAACCCTTGTTCTGCTAGATAACAAAACGAGAAGAAAAGTACCGAGGACTTAAAGTTAAGGATGCAAGAGGCGTTTTCGGTTGGCATGAAAAATTGTTTCAGATCGTACATATATCATTAGGATGAACCATCCATCTATGGAAAAATTTTTAATTTTCTGTGCACGAAAACTTCTTTGACACTTTTGTTGGCAGTTTGTTCTCTTAGGGTAAGAGCATAGTGGAGCGGCGACCAAAGAGCATCGAGCAAAGCGTCGATTTCAAGCGCATATGTTTCAATGGGAAAACGCATAGTGAAGAGCAAAGCGTATATACACGTTTGTAATTTAAGCTATGCTCGATGCTACCTCTTCGCTTTGCTCGCCGCTCCACTATGTTTTGACCCTTAGAAGTGTTACGGAAAGTATTGTTCGCATTTTGTTCTGTCTCGGAACGTTCCCCAGGGTTTTGTTCTTATATCATACCCGTTGAAAGCGTTCTTTTATTTTCACTTTCTTTATTATGGAAACACTCCCGTAGGCTTTTTTTCTCATTTCGGTTTGGGATTTTGGGAAAAAACCTACGGGAACGATATTTAGTTTTGATCACACCTTTTGTATGGTATGTTACCACATAACTTTAGACCACGCGAACCGTTTTCGATAATTAAGGCCGATGATATACTAATCTGGTTTAGTTCCGATCATGGGATCATGAAAAAATTAAAGGGATTCCTATACTTTTGCACTTGTATTATATTATTATATTATATTTTTTGACTTTTATTTGGAGGTGGGTCATGGGTGGGTGATTGGAACATGTACAAAATAACGGTACACAAGGAACTACATAATGGTTTATTATTTATTATTTTTATTTGTTAAAGAATAAACAAAATAGTAGTGGAAACACACTTTGTGAGAAGCAATACGTTGATGTTTTTTCGATGGGCGGTTTTGCTAATATATCGACGAATAGCTTTATGCGACTTGGAATCATCTAAACTTTTAAACAAACCCCATAAAGAACGTCGCGCCATATATGTTTTGCACCATGTATAGATTAAAAATTTTCCCATTTTGGAAAAAACATTTCCTTTTAAATCTTTGTAAGTATTTAGAAAACTTGTAACTTTAATGAAAAATTAATTGTAAGTGAAACATGTCATATTTTATTACCTTTAATTTGATATTTTGATTGTTTAATTTGATATTTAATTTTTTTAAATACATATCTCCATTAATATAGAAAGGACCATATACATATGCACAGAGTTCTTGGTCTTGAAATAATACTATAATGCAAATTTTATTGTTTTAAACGCATATTTAATTAGCCTTCGTTTCTTGCGTAAAAATATTCGCTCTAGTAGAAAACAAGTAGTCAGATGTCGATAGTGACTACTGCTGTTAAAACTTTAATAACGCAGTGCCTTATATCCTTACCAATTTTCATTTGGCAGCATTAAAAGATGTTGTAGTATTTCGTTCCACGATTGCTGAAAAACATTGAGTTTGTTCACGCTTGCCTGTTTATCAGGCTATGTGGTTATATTTTTTATTCAGTTTACAACAAAATAAAATACACTAAATAAAAATAATTTTTAACCTGATAACCTAATAACCAGGCAAGTGTGAACAACCTCATTTCTTTTAAGTAGTCGGCTCTCTGCAGGAAAAGCCGTGCCAAAAATTTAACAAAAATCTGATCGCAACTTACTTGCGTATTTTTATTTTTTTTTAATATAACCTATTCATATATTTTTGATGTAAGTGGGTTGATAAAAAATACCATGGGAAGGGTATTCAATTATTCACATTTCTATAAAAATCTTGTTCAGAAAATAAATTAATAATTTTTTTATTTAACCAAAAATTTGTATTTTAAATTCAAATAAAGAAAATCGTCAAAACGTAATGGTTTTCTTAAAAATATTACTGAACTGACTGAATATACATAAATTCATAATAAAAATTAAAAATATTTACATATAATAAAATAAATTAAAGCCAAATCAAAAATTTTTAGAATTTTCGTCTATCTGATGTTTGTACGCGCATCACCCGAAAACTAATGCATGGAGTTTAATGCAGTTTTCACCGATATATTGCAAGAGTTCTAACTATAAATATGGAAAGAAAATATTTAGAGTTGCCACCTGTTTGAAAATTGCAGTTGAAGTAAATTGACATGGATATCAAACTGAAGAGGTTTAGGAAAGATTACTGACGAAAATATTTTTAAGGGGCGTTGCCACCTCTAAGAAAAAAATTGTATTCAATTAAATTGACCACGCTGGGTATTTTCTAGTTATATATAAAATTGATTATAGGGGGAATATTTGTCAAGACTAAGCTCAACAAATACTGAACCGATTTTTTTATATTTTTATTCTAAAACGATGCATTGATGAAAAGAATTTGATGGTATACTTTAACCCTTTCCCGAGGAAGGTAAACAAAATACAAAGATGTAATCCCCAAGGGTCATGTAGTACTCCAAAATTAAACGAAATGTATAGAGAAGCATGTGGTCCATTTAAATGTTCTTTGCCTAAATCTCATATATTTAAGCCAAACGACGTCACGTCAGATATTCTGCTAGTAAGAGATTAGAAGTTTTTGTTTTAATAGTTTTCCATTTTTGTATGGTAGAAAACAGGACTTTGATAGTTACTTAGTTAAATATTAAAATTATTTTCAAAAGATTTTCTCGAGTTATAATCAAAAATCGCAAATATCATTGTGTCAACTTGTAACTAGAAATATTATTACAGCGAAAATATGTTGAAGCACTTCAGCTGATTTCGTTATAGGTTTTTCAGATGGCCAACAATTTCTATTAAAGACATTTTTATATTTAGTTTAATGCTATTTCATATGCCATACCATATTCATTGAACTATACATGCACATATGCATGTGTGTACGCGTTCCCCACAATTTCACTGTAGAAAAATTTTATGTAAACTAATGAGTGCGCCTTTCTTTTCTTTTGCAGCGCAATGTGAAGTCAAAGCATCCTCAGCTTCCACACTACATCGTGCACAACAACAAGATCTAGCGCTACAACAAAGTGGTATCGTTACAATAATGCTGACGTTATCAATTGTTTTGGGCATTCCGTCGCTGAATATATTTTTCTAAAACATAAAATTGATTTAGGAGCGCACAAAAAGCTTCATGCAGCCAATGTATTCAAACATTCCAGAAAACACACATTAAAATGATGGATATTAATAAAAAAAGAAATAAGATAATTATTACTAATAAAAATAACACACACACTCACGAATGCTTACATATAAAAAAAAACAACATTTAACTAGCGTAGTGAAATGTAGTTAATGAAAGGGTAGGCGAAGAATTAAGGAAGGACGAAAATATGAAAAATAAAGAAATATGTTTGTAAGTAGATGCCAAGTAGATCCAGAATTTTTAATTTTTATTTTTTTTTTAATTTGTGTATAGGGCTGACACAAAACACTATCTACGAAACTGATTTGATGTTATACATTTTTCTATATTTTTAATTTTTTTTTGTCGTTGTGGCAAAACTTGATTTTTTTAGGGCAAGTATTAAGCAAAAATATTATATTATTAATGTATATTGAGCAGCTTGGGTTGGAAAAAAATTCCACAATTTTTTCATTTACTTTTATCGAATTCGTGTTATATTTAAATTGCTTATTTTTGTCTATGTATGTGGACATATTTATCGTATAACTTAGTTTGCATAGTATAATGTTCAGTGTGCTCAACCCGTACAACAAAAGTAGTCACTTACACTCCCGCACACATACACTTTAAGCATTTTACGCGTGCTCTTGCCACAAATCTGCAGAGCACCTTGATGACCTTCGCTTGACAACCCAAACCAAATTAATAAACTAATTTGGTAAGCTCAAAGGAAAGGCAATGGAATTTTTGAAACAGTTAAAAAACTTTAACTTAAATTGGATATCCAGAACCACAGTTTTTTACAATCAACCAAAATTTTAAAAGCGAAGAAAACGTAACATTTTTAGCGACGACGAAATAAGTAACGAATATTTGCAAAACATTAACGATTTTATACCGAAATAACAAATAAAAAAAAAATACAAATGAGATTAAACTTAAAATTTGAAATTTGCCAAGAAAGTTTTGAAAAATTTGGTACCCCAGAGCCTTGATAGGTAGAGGCCATTTAATAAAGTAAAAAAGAAAATTTTGAACTGACTTTAGCATTAAATTTCAGTTAAATAAAATGGAAAGCGTTCGCAATGTACGCGAAATGCGATGAATTGTTTGAGTAAAAATTTCAAGCGCGAAACCCGTTCGTGTCTTGAGTCTTTCGTTTGCCTCGCATCCTTACTCTACTGCGACAAGTGGGTTGAATTTGTTTGCACAAAAAGCCAACTAATAACATATCTACTATAGTTTTTACGATTCCACAATAAAATGTGCGCTTTAAAGTGAACGACAGGAAGAAATCTGTTTTGTTATTTTTTGCATATGCATTTGCGTTAGGCTTCAGACCAACCACTTTACGATTACTTTCCCATATTTTTCTCCACAAACTATATATATATAGTACTTGTGCGCAAATAAGTCATTAGCCTTTATGCCATATAGCTTTTCCTCCAGCTGTGCTGTATAACCTAAATAAAAAATATAAAAAAATGTAATAAAAATTAGTAACCTATTCTTATGGCTGACAAATTAATTGGATTTTAATAGCGTGAATATGATAATTGTATTAGAAGCATGTTGCAAATTTGTAGCACAAACAATAATAGTTGCACACACACACATACTCGTGCATACAGCCATACATACTCAATAAGTAATAAAAGAAACAAAAAACGAAATGGTAAATATGTATGTATTTATATGTGAGCACATGTAGTTACATATTTGTATGTGTGTAAGTGGTTAATTGTAAAAGAAATTATGTAAATTGAAAATAAAAATTACTTTTAAGAAGACCAAAACAAAACCAAAAAACAAAACCATACATAAGTTGATGTGGTAAAAATTATACATACACACATCTATAAAAATTTATGCATTAAACGAAAATAGAGAAATGAATTGCTAAGCAAAAACTTTTTATATAGCAGCGTAAGCAACCAAAACAAAAAAAAATAATAAAAGAAACAAGAAAAAAGAAAAAAAGAAAAAGTGAGACAAATACTTATACATACATATACATATATATATATATATATAAATATATATTTATTTAAAAGTAAAGAAGTTATATAACGCAAAACATATCAATATATTATTATTACGAATATTATTATTGCTATGATTAAACCAAAAATGATATTAGTACTATGAATTTGTACTCAACAACTTTATAAAATTGGCTCTTATAAAAACTATTATTACCGAAACAAAAACTATAAACAAAATCTAAGCTAAAAACTTTACATTTTTAAGTAAGAAATAATTGTAAGAAATTAAAATAGAAATTATAATGAAAATAGTGCAATAAAAATGCGGCGCTTACAATGCCACTGACGTATTGCAACAATAACGGTATATCTGTATCTGAACACATGAATAAGCGCAAAACAAACACACAATGCACGCACACTCGCACACAACACAACATTCATGCATGCGCATCAAACTACATAGATTTATGTATGTACAAGCATAGCTAGTCTCGTAAGTAAACCCTGGATATTTGGCTTATTTAATTAGAACTGAGAAAAATGCCCCATTGAATATTAAAATACCAAACAAGCATGCATACTACATAAACACATGCATTCTCCTACATTTAAAATATATATAGAAGTTAACGTTGTATTGTGTGGCTACATTCTACATACATATATACTTATATGTATGTATGTAAACAAGCACACTTGACGTTGACCTGTAGCATTCGTATAGTTGAACTTACAAAATACTGAATAATTATTAAATTAGCTAATTATAACGAATATAAATTATAATATATATTAAATGCATATCAAATAAAAATATTTCTAAACGAAAGGAGAAAATTCTTTTAAAAAATGTATTGCGTAGTTTTAAGCTAAAACTAAAAATATAAGTAGTTGCTTTACTAAGAACATAAAAACATACATATGTTTGTGTGACGTGTAAGCATAAGTCAGTTACTAAAGAAACAAAAACGAAACACAGCACACACACAAAGTGAATTACAATGTAATGTATGTATTAATATTAAAATATATATGAAATAATTTATCAATAAAAATACATATGTTTTGGAAATAAAATAAACACCATAAATTCAAAAAGTTATTTCAATTTTTTTATTAATAGTTTGTTATAATTTCTTAGTAAAAAGGAAGCTATGAAAAAACCAATCGTGTGTAAGCATATATTAAGCACAAATACTTACACACAAATATTCTATAACTGAGCGATGTTCGCTTGCAACTGCAGAACCATTAGTATACAAATAATTTAAAAAAAAGTAAAAAAATCAGGCTAGAAAGGAAGANGTTACATAAACACATGCATTCTCCTACATTTAAAATATATATAGAAGTTAACGTTGTATTGTGTGGCTACATTCTACATACATATATACTTATATGTATGCATGTAAACAAGCACACTTGACGTTGAACTGTAGCATTCGGATAGTTGAACTTACAAAATACTGAATAATTATTAAATTAGCTAATTATAACGAATATAAATTATAATATATATTAAATGCATATCAAATAAAAATATTTCTAAACGAAAGGAGAAAATTCTTTTAAAAAATGTATTGCGTAGTTTTAAGCTAAAACTAAAAATATAAGTAGTTGCTTTACTAAGAACATAAAAACATACATATGTTTGTGTGACGTGTAAGCATAAGTCAGTTACTAAAGAAACAAAAACGAAACACAGCACACACACAAAGTGAATTACAATGTAATGTATGTATTAATATTAAAATATATATGAAATTATTTATCAATAAAAATACATATGTTTTGGAAATAAAATAAACACCATAAANCAAAAACGAAACACAGCACACACACAAAGTGAATTACAATGTAATGTATGTATTAATATTAAAATATATATGAAATAATTTATCAATAAAAATACATATGTTTTGGAAATAAAATAAACACCATAAATTCAAAAAGTTATTTCAATTTTTTTATTAATAGTTTGTTATAATTTCTTAGTAAAAAGGAAGCTATGAAAAAACCAATCGTGTGTAAGCATATATTAAGCACAAATACTTACACACAAATATTCTATAACTGAGCGATGTTCGCTTGCAACTGCAGAACCATTAGTATACAAATAATTTAAAAAAAAGTAAAAAAATCAGGCTAGAAAGGAAGAAACTACAGAACAAAATTTATGTAGGTATTCATAAGAGGGTCGTTAGTGTCATATTTTTGTAATTATTTCATTGACTTTTTAGGAGGTAAAAAATATTGGGTCGATTTCTTGTTTTCGTACGAGTCGAAAATTTGAAATTTCCCTATTATGCCGAATTTCCCCAAGGCATTAGAATGATAAAAAATTTATGCCATTTAAAAAATGCCATATCGAAACACACACAATGACTATTTTTATGAATGCAATGGCAGAGGAATTTATTAATGCCTAACATTTTCAATAAAAGTTTTGTCATTTAATGCCTTTTGGAAATTCAGCATTTCTTTTCTATACCAAAAATTTGAAATCTTCGATTCGTAAGAAAACAAGAATCCGGCTGATGCTTTTTATTTCAATAAAAGGTATTTATTTCATGACACAAATATTTTATATGAAACGTAAAAATTAAAAAAAAAAAAATAGTAGTCTCTGTCCCATTAATGAATTAGCAGATATGCGCTAAAACCTCTATTAGATACGAGTTAAATATACGTATATTATACAATATAATATCTATAAACCAATAAATAATAATTTATAGTTATGATCATTGGCTAGTAGGCGTTAGGTAAACTCTCAATTGACAGTCGCATTTTTATATCTAACTCAGCCTAATAAAGCGACCATAATCTAATATGATAATATATAATAAAATAAAATATAATATTATAATATAACAAAATAAAATATAATATAATACAAAATACATAATGTAATATACTTCTCATTTGCTTTTCAAAACTTGTAATGCAAGTATGATTGCCATGGATACTACAAAAAGGCTCCTGTTATTGTCCGTGGCACACCCGTCAGTGCCAGTGTGGCAGTGTTTTAAAAATCTCAAAGTAAAGTATAATGCATGAGGATAGTAGAGAAATAGAATAGAATTACGGTCTTTTCTGGATATAGTGAACAAGTTATTGTAAGGCCCCATCACAGTATTCTGATTTATCTCTGTATGAAGGTTCACACTTTATTAAAGTTAAGTGAGTTTTTCACCAGTTTTGGTTACTACTCTTTGGTATATTTATTGTTTATAACCACATAAATCCACTCGTCGAACTTCGTACAAAAATTAGAAAAATTCAACAAACTTTAACAATTGGACCCAAAAATGTTAAACTTTTTATTAAACATTTTTGGAAAAATTTTAGGTACGCAGTTTTATAGCCCATTAAATTTTAGTATGTTAAAATGTAAGACGCTAGAAATTCGCGTTGATTAAATTTTTTTTTTTGGCTGACGGTGTTGAGCATTTTCTCTCATATAAAATATGCTCGACAATTACTTTTATACATATAGAGGAAATTGCCTAGCACCGCCAGAAAATAAAATTATTAAAAATTAGTGCGATTTTCTAGCGTAAGGTAAATTAGGTTTCCACGCTTTCTAGAAATTTCGATCATTTAAGCAGCTGGTCCTTGCCTTGAAAAATGAGTTTTTGCCACAGTGTTGAATCCATGTGATTTTTTACAGCTTAGGGATGTGAGAAAACTTGAAATTGTTTTAATGGGATATTTTTGAAAATGTTTAAACAAAATTTTAAGTTAAAAAATTACTTTTATTTATCCCTTCTTTGATTTCTGTTTTTTATATTCACATTTAAAGATCAAGGGGTATTTTTTCTCTTTATTTATGATATTAAAAAAAAGTTTGAAAACATTAGATTAAATATGTATAATAATGAAACCAAATTAAAAATTAACAGGCTACAAAATTTATAATAAAAATAAAACTTAAATAATAACAAAGTATAAAAACGTCTAGCCAAATTCTATGAATATAAATGGAAACCCAAATTTCGACATTATGAAAAAGTATTAAATACAAAATAAAACTTGAAAGAAATGCGCTGTCATTTGGGTGGTTTACTAAATTTAATTGTATGTAAGTAAGCATGCATATGCATTGATATGTGTGTACATATGTACATGCATGCATATATGCACTAACAATATGAAATTATGCTATACATTAAATACAATAAAAATTTATATTTTTATACAAAACAAAAGAAGAAAACTTGAAACTAAAAATATAAGTTATGCATGTTTTAAATGTTGCTAAATTTTCAACCAAATTTAGACATTAATAAACACATTCAAATGTTGCATAGTAGTAATTAAAAAACAGGAGGTATTTAAGTACTGCTTTTATTATTTCTTCTGCGCTGCAGAAACTATAATATTGAACAGTTTTCAATAACAGAATGCATCTCAGTCGCTTCACATTATTAAACTGAAAACCATTAAAAAATAAAGTGCAAACCTTATAAATAAATCC